GCGAGGCCGGCCTCGCCGGATCCGGTGAGGCGAGCCCTCGCCAAGGCAACGGCGGCCTCGCCGAGGCGTCGCCTTCCTTCGGCGACGCCGGCCTCGCCGGATCTGGTGAGGCGAGCCCTTGCCAAGGCCACGGCGGCCTCGTTGAGGCGTCGCCTTCCTCTGGGCGAGGGCCGGCGAGGCCGCCGTGGCCTCGGCGAGGGCCGCCCTCGCCCGGAGAAAGGCAACGCCCGGTGGCCGGACGCCGGCCATCGGAAATAAGAAGAAAGAAAAGAAAAAAAAGAAAAGAAAGGAAAAAAGAAAGAAAAGGAAAAAGAAAAGAAAAGAAAAGAAATGCCACATCAGCCTCCGGTGAGCTACATCAGCCTCCGGCGAGCCACATCAGCTTGAGAAATTAATAAAAAAATGCCACGTCGGATTTCCGGTAAAGTGGCACTTAAGTGATCGTTTTCACAACTTTTGGCACTTAAGTGATCCGTTTGAAACTTTTGGCATCAAAGTGAGCTCCGTACATAACTTTTAGCACTTCTGCTGTTCTTCCCCCCAAGCATCACAAGACATTCACGGACAACGTTTTTTGCTATAGTTTGATTCCCTTAAGAAATTGCAAATATTGGGAAGAAAATGCATCCAATGGTCAAAATCAGTGAGGAATAGTCTTGGTCGTAGCTCGATCACAAAGTTAATTCTCAATGAAAATGGGCAATCGATTTTATTCATACTGTTTGTGTAAAAGAATTAAAAAAACATCGACAGTGGACATATATATAACTCATCATCGTTGATCTTTGTCGATCTTACATGATCGAGCACGAGGGTTCACTATAACGTGGGTATGGATCCATGACGTAGGCGATTTCACAGTGCGGGACCCCGCCAACGTACGACCAGATGACGGGCTGTGGCGCCGTGTCTTCGTTCTCGTCTTTTTTTGCATCGGCCTCGCCCATGGTCACTATCTCCGCGAACCCGACATTCTTCCTGAGTAAAGTGGTGAGCTTGACCGCGTCAACCCTTTCTCCAACCACCTCGATTCTGTCCTTGTCGTCTCCCACCAGTGCCACGGATTGAACTCCTAGAATCGAATTAAAGAACACAGATCAGTTTCGAATCTAACAATCACCAAAGTATAATCATCTACCTGGAATGATTTGCAGAGGACGCAACTAAATGATCATCGAGATAATATCAAAATCTAACAATCACCTGCGAAGCCAGTAGCAACTCTTATAGCTTTGCAACGAGAGCTTTGGGGGCCGAAACAATAAAATCTCGTGGAATCGTCGTTCATGCTCACCTTAATCATGACCTTCTGCTTGCCAAAAAGAAGAAGAGAAATCAAGAAGGTGAATTAGCATGCGACACAAGGTGAATTATGTCGTGATTTTCTCATCATATTACCTTCATGGTGCTTGCTGCGATTAGGAATTTAAGGAAGTTAATATTCTTCTATTTGTCCGAAGAATTTGGAGAAAATATTGAAGGAGGGCTGAAGACGAACTGAGGTACCACTCTCTATTTATAGCCTCTCCTTGGAAGAAGAAACAAGAAACTTAAACAAAGGCCGGGCTGATAGAAGTCACAAGTCAACCTTGGAATGTGAAGTCGAAGGGGTGAGCAGACAACCTACGAGAAGAAATAATGGGACAAGGCAGGGATGGTTAAGGGAAAATCATGGGAAAGTTCATGCTCAATTCCAAAATACTGACTGGTTCAATCCAGGTTCGATCAATTGTTTCTTAGTCGAGCTAGAAAAAAGGAGCATTCCACACTTTCCGGGTACAAATTTGAAGGTTGACCGTCGTTGATGTCTCTAATCAAACATTTCGTGCGAGGTCGGTATTGAATATGCCAGCAAAAGTAATAGGACGTTTGTCACTTCGAAGTGAAAAAGTATATGGCTATATATACTTCATGTGTATAAATACCGAATTTTACCCTTTAACTTGTTTTATCGATGCAATATGATCGTCAAGCTTTCTATCTTGTAAAGTTCAGCTTCAAATTGCCAATTCTAAAGGACGTGTTAGTTGTCGGTGCATCAGGGAGTCTTTTGAAACCTCCCCGTAGTTCGAGCCTAGGATGTTAAGGCATAGTGTCGCTAGTTTGGGGAGCTTGTGGTACGCTTCTGAGGGTGTCTTCAAAGTCGTAGAGACATTTAACCCTCGGAAATTGTTCTCGTTTATAATTTTCTGTTGTAGTGATCAAGTGGAACTTCTACTTTGTCGTCGTCGTCGTCCTTTCTTATGGCACCAAAATGCTCAGTGCATTCTCGTTTAGGTCACATAGAGTGTCTCATGTTACATAGCATACAGACATGAAGATCCTCAACATTGCCGAAACTACATCTACTGAAATCTTTCAGAGCTTGGCGCGATGTCCTCGTCAATACGTCTTTGACCAAACATTCGTGCGAGGTCAATCTTGGATATCCAGCAAAACTAAAATGACATTTCTCACTTTAAAATAAACTAAAATACGGCTCTATATGTACATATGAATAGTTGTGGAATGTACCCTCTAACTAAGTACTCGCCTCGCCTTCCTATAGAGGGGATGAACGGTATTTGCCGAGGTAACCATGAGGGTAAGCGTACGAGATTCTTTAGTAATGTTTTGCTCATCAAATCTATAAGTTGCTATGGTTCACTGTTAGTCTAGCACTTGTGTAGTGTCTCACCATGTCTTCCTTCATGCAAAATTAATCACCAGCTTCAAGCGGAACTCCGTGTTACTATGCACATGCTTATTGTCTTACCAGTCTCCATTTTGATCAAAACTCTCATGTGCCTGATCTTGACAACATCATCATATTTGTGCCTCAACACACAAACCCAAGTTTTCCTTGATTTGTTTGAGTAGTCATCGACAATTGTTAGCATAAAACCAACACTCTTTCTCAAAGGAAAATGTGGCAGACTACGAACATCCAAGTGAATCAACTTTGCAATATTCGTGGTTTCTCTGATAGTCTTATTGAATTGCACCTTTCGCTATTTGCTCATGTCATACCACCTGCATACATTCGGTTCCTTAGCCATATAACCTCACAACAGATTCATTTCACTCAGAATTTTGCACACTTCTCTCGGCAATGTGCCCCAAACATGTTTTCCAAATTCAGATTCTCGACTAGATGCATCCAACGTCACCACAGCATAATTCATCACCGTCTCACCTTGAAGCTCATATAAGCCACTGTATTTGATTCCTATCATGATCACCATGTTTAATGCAATCAATATCAACAAAAATCAGCCAACAAAACAATAAATAAATAAGCAAGTGTTGGATTCATAATTAAAGCAATAATTAATTATAGAGCAAAGGGGACAGAAGTCAATCAGTGGTGGTCGTATGGTTGCTTCCCTAGCTATATGGCTACAGAGGATACAAAAGCGGCCAATGCCATTTTCTAATAATGGCAGTTTCTTTTGGGTTACAACTTTGGAAATATGTTAGTCTCTAGTCGGTCGTATAGATGCAGGGCCAACGACCATATTATTGCACGGCCAATTTAGAGCAAACAAGAGCTTTCTTGATCTGCCGGCCCTTGTGGTCCAATCGCTCCAATCTCCGCCTCGAATATTTGTCGTCTACGTGTGACTAAAACCTCTTAAAGTTTTTTTATCGCAAACAGAACCAATCACATAAGAGGTGATGTTTATTCCCGATTCCACGAAGAAAATAAGGGGGTTCACCCGTAGGATTGATCGACACCGCATTAGCCCGGTATATATAGAGGATGTTCCTTCAGTTCGTTGCCTTTAAGCGAGTCCTCTAGTGTTGATTTCTTCTCAACCTGTCCAGTCTCCAGCTTTTGAGAGAGAGAGAGAGAGAGAGAGAGAGAGAGAGAGAGAGAGAGAGAGAGGGGATTCTTGTTAACTGCAGGTGAGTGGTGGAAGGAGCGGCGCGTATGATCTGCCTGGCTCCCTGAATGCCATCTAAGGAGGTGGTTTCAACAGTTGACCAAAGAGGGGGATGTTCGACTTCTTCTTAGTTGGCATCAGAGGAGTCATGCAGGCCCTGATACGCAACACCACTTCATCGTCTTCTCCTCCTCACTTGTTGAATTCTTCACTTTTACTTCCGTGTATATCATCTGATGTTCTCACCCTTTCTTTCTGCTCTACATGTTCCTTGGTTTCGTCGCAAGTTTTTTGGGTTCCCCATACATATATGCATGTCTGGATTATTCTTTGAGACAAACCCTTTTCTTCTTGCATCTTTTTATTAGTCCCGTATTACATTATTCTCGTGAGTGTTTACTATTTACTTCGGTTTTTGAATGGGGTTTACACGGGTTCTGTAAAATTGCAGACAGCTAGAAACCATTATTGATATAGACGTTCAACCCTTGGAAACTGTCCTAATTGACCCTTTTTCCTTGTAGTGATTGAGTGAAACGTCTGTGCTCTATGTTCCCATCCTTGTCGTCGTCTGTCTCTGTGATTTTCTTTGAGATACGAGGAGAGAATGGAGCGTGGGTGAGGTGAAACGACCACCTACGGGAAGGCAACATATGAGGACAAGGCAAGCGCCACTACAGGAGACGACGAAGAGAAGATTCTCGCATAAAAGTAATCAGTGACTGATTCAATCGGGGATCAATCATTGATTGGCCAGTACGTTGTTTGTTCTTTGTAGGAACATCGATAAGCCCAATATATATGCCATCGTAGAGGAATTAGAGCCAAGTACACCCGACGCGTTGGTGCAGTGCATTTCAAGCTTAAAAGTCACAAGCATCACAAGACATTGCCGGACAACGTTTTTCGCTATAGCTTGATTCCCTGAAGAAATTGCAAACATTGGGAAGAAAATGCATCCAATCGTCAAAATCAGAGAGGAGCAGTCTTGGTCAGAGCACGATCACAAAGTTCAATCTCAATGAAAATGGGCAATCAATTTTATTCATACCGTTTGTGTAAAAGAATTAAAAAAACAATGCGCAGACGCGCGCACACACACATAAATGTTATCATCATTAGTCTTTATCGATCCTACATGATCGAGCACGAGGGTTCGCTATAATGTGGGTATGGATCCATAACGTAGACGATTTCACGGTGCGGGACCCCGCCGACGTACGACCAGATGACGGGCTGTGCCGCCGTGTCTTCATTCTCGTTTTTTTTCGCGTCAGCCTCACCCACGGTCACTATCTCCGCGAACCCGACATTCTTTCTGAGCAAAGTGGTGAGCTTGACCGCATCAACCCTTTCTCCAACCACCTCGATTCGGTCCTTGTCATCTCCCACCAGTGCCACGGATTGAACTCCTGGAGTTGAACCAACAAAGAACACGGATCAGTTTAGAATCTAACACTCACCTGAAAATAACCATCTACATAGAATGATTTGTAGAAGGCGCAGCTAAATGATCATCAAGATGTTATCGAGATCTAATAATCACCTGCGAAGCCAGTAGCAACTCTCATAGCTTTGCAGCGAGAGCTTCGGGGGCCGAAACAATAAAATCTCGCGGTATCGTCGTTCATGCACACCTTAATCACGACCTTCTGCTTGCCAAAAAAAATTATAATCAAGAAGATGAATAAGCATGCGACGCAAGGTGAATTAAGTCGTGATTTTCTCATCACATTACCTTCATGGTGCTTGCTGCGATTAGGAATTCGAGGAACTTAATATTCTTCAATTTGGTCCGAAGAATTTGGAGAAAATATTGGAGGAGGGCTGAAGACGAACTGAGGTACCACTCTCAATTTATAGCCTCTCCTTGGAAGAAGAAACAGGAAACTTAAACAAAGGCTGGGCAGATAGAAGTCACAAGTCAAGACTCAAATGTGAAGTCAAAGGGGTGAGCAGACGACCTACGAGAAGAAATGATAGGACGAGGCAGGGATAGTTAAGCGAAAATCACGGGAAAGTTCATGCTCAATTCCAAAGTACTGACTGATTAAATGCAGGTTCGATCATTGGTTTGCCGACTTAATTGTTTCTTAGTGAACCAGAGCAAAGGAGCATTCCCATTTTCCAGCAAAAGTAAAAGGACTTTGTCACTTCGAAGTGAAAAAGCATATGGCTATATATACTTCATGTGTATAAATACTGAATTTTACCCCTTTAACTTTGTTATATTGATGCAGTATGATCGTCAAGCTTTCTATCTTGTACGGTTCAGCTTCGAATTGCCGATTGTAAAGGACGTGTTAGCTGCTGGTGCATCGGGGAGTCTTTTGAAAACCTCCCCGTAGTTCGAGCCTAGGATGTGAAGGCGTGATGTCGCTAGTTTGGGGGAGCTTGTGGCACGCTTCCGAGGGTGTCTCCCAAGTCGTGGAGACGTTTAACCCTCGGAAACTGTTCTCGTTTACCCTTTTCCGCTGTAGTGATCAGGTGGAACTTTCACTTTATCGTCGTCGTCCGTCTCTGTGGCTTTCCTTGAAATATGAGGGGAGAACGCAAAGTCGGTGAGGTGAAGCGACCACCTACGGAAAGGAACGTAAAAGGACAAGGCAAGAGCCGCCGCAGGAGAAAATGAAGAGAAGATTCTTGCGTAAAAAGGATTATTAATTGGATATATTTTGAGGTTATGAACATTTTAGCAGAAGTTATGAAAGGATTCATAGCAACACGAATCGGCAACTCATCATTCCAATTAAGTTGAGCAAACTCATTAAAAGAAGTACGAGTTAACCAAAGCTGCTTCAAAATCGGAAATGCCGATTTACCCTAAGAGTCCTCTCACGGTACAGAGCACTCAAGAGAGGATGAAGGTCGGATCTAACTCTTGGAAGTACACGAACTGTTGCATCAACAAACAACAAACGCCAAGAAAGATCACGTAATGCTCTGTCAAGGCGCTTGAATACCCGATCATATCCATTTTACTCGGGCCCACGCCACGTAAGTATCAATTCATCATCATTCCCACCTAGTCCAGATCATATGCCACGTCAGCTTGCGTCGGTGAGAAACTTAAGTATGGGTGATTTTGTCTCTGGGGTAAGAGTTTGTGGATTCATTTGGTGGTCTGGAAAGCCAATCGATGCTCGACCGTGGCATTCTGTGGTTGAAATCAAAAGCTTCTTCTCCCTCGATTTAGTATTTTCAAAGGTGTGGTCGTGAATTAGAAATCGGTCGACAGAATTTTCTCCGAAATGAGAAAAAACCATTTAGCCAATCTTTATTTGCTTGAAAAAATAGAGAGTTGATACCACGAAAAATCCCAAACCAATATACCTGTGATAAATTTACCAAGAACTAATTTTTTGACTAAAAAAAACCCAAAACTGATACATTTGTGATAAATTTACCCTATGTTAAATTGGATTAATACTACGCAAAATCACGAATTGGTACACTTGTGACAAACGGAAGGTGAAACCTCAGACTGGTACACCCGTCAACTGCCATGTGTAATTAAACTCAGAAATTTGACAGTAAAATTTAATGAAAATTAATGGAGAGCGAATTGTCATAAGTGTACTAGTTTAGGATTTTTAGTGGTTAAAAAATTAGTTCGGAGTAAATTTATCATAGATGTACCGGTTTAGGGTTTTTGGTGATCAAAAAATTATTTTGCGGTAAATTTATCACAAATGTACTAATTTGAAATTTTTCGTGATATTAACCGTCGTTTTAACTCACTCTAATTCCTTTCAAATGCCCAAGCAAGTTACTTTTCTGTGTCATTCATATCGATTTCCATCATATTCATTTACCCGTTGCTCTCGGGGGCGGGTACATCTACCCCCACGCGCACCATCAAATCCCTCGTGGAAAATTTGTTTCGTGGAAATTTTGATCCCTTCGTGCTCGAACTAGAACCAGAAAGCAAGCCTGCTTTCGCTTTCCTAATCGCCCGAAAGTCATGTAGTATTAATGCATTTCAAGCTCGAAACTCACGAGCATCACTAAACATTGACGGAGAACAATTTTGCCATAGATTGATTCCCTAAGAAATTGCAATCACTGGGAGAAAATTCGAATTGGAGTCTCCAACTAGCCAAAATTCAGAGAGCAGTAGTCTTGGTCATAGCAAGATCACAAAGTTCAATCTCAATGAAAATGCGCAACGGATCTGATTCATTTTTCGAAGCTGTCTGCATGACAAAATTTAAAAAAACCATCGGCGGTGTACATTTGTATAAGTCATCATCGTCAATCCTTGTCGATCCTACATGATCGAGCATGAGGGTTGAGTGTAACATGGGTATGGATCGACGACGTAGGCGATTTCGCGGTGCGGGACTCCTCCGACGTACATAATGGGCTGTGCCACCTTGTCCTTGCTCTCGCTTTCTTTCTTGCCTTTCGCGTCGACCACGCTCACGGTCACTATCTCCGCGGACCCCACATTCTTCCTGAGCAAAGTGGTGAGCTTGACCGGATCGACCCTTTCTCCGATCACCTCGAGCCGGTCCTTGTCGTCTCCCACCAGCGCCACGGATTGAACTCCTGGAGTCGAACCGACAAAGAAAACGGATCGACATAGAATCTAACACTCACCTCATCTACCTAGAAAGATTTACAGAAGACGCAACTAAACGGTCATCGAGATATATAAAAATCTAACAATCACCTTCAAAGCCAGTCGCAACTCTCATAGCTTTGCAGCGAGAGCTTTTGGGGCCGAAACAATAAAATCTCGAGCTGGAGGCGTTCATGCTCACCTTAATCACTACCTTCTGCTGCAAAAAGAAATCAAAATCAAAAACAAAATCAAGAAGGCGAATTAGCATGCGACATAAGGCGAATCAATTCATGATTTTCTACATCATATTACCTTCATTGTGCTTGCTTCGTTAGGAACTTAAGCAGCTTTAAATTCTTCGATTGGTTGGAAGAAATTTGAGAAAATATTGGAGGAGGATGAAGACGGAATGAGGGACGAGACTCTCTATTGATGGCCTCTCCTCGGAAGAAGACTCAAATGACTTAAAACAAAGGCTAGGCATTTTGTAGTCAGAAGTGAACCCTCAAATGTGGAAGGCGACGGGGGTGAGCAGACGACCCACGAGAAGGATTGATGGGCCAAGGCAAGGACAGTTCAAAGACTGATTCAAAGTAATGACTGATTCAAACGGCGTTCAATCACTTGTTTGTCGACTAAATTGTTGGGAAAAAGACACCAATAATCCTAAACTATATCTAACGCCCAAATTTTTTTTATTGACACAAAAAGCCCAAAATTTATCCCGTGTAACACATTTACTCTAAACTTTTTTTTTTGTGAAACAAAAAATCCCAAACTTATATCCGTGTGACAAATTTATCTCAATTTTTTTATGATACTAAAAACCTCAAACTTGTACTCATGAGGTTTTTTGTAAGGTAAATGTGTCACATGGATACAAGTTTGATATTTTTGTGTCACAAATTTGGGGTAATGTCATAGTTGGCACAGTTTAAAGTTTTTGGTGGCTTTTTCCCTAATTATTTCTTAGTGAGCTAGAGAAAAGGAGCATTCAATATCGCCATGCTAGAGAAAGCAGATGAAATTATATTGTCATGGATCTTACCCTCTAACTTGTTTTATTTATGCAATTTGATCCTCAAGCTTTCTATTCGTGCAATTAGACTTGGTAAAATAAAATAACGATGTGACGACCCTTGACTCGCTATTCTTTTTGTGCATGCTGAACGTAACACCTCTTTTTTGCAGCACGAACAAATTGAAGAAAAAGTTGGCAAGTGACGGTGGCAAATGCCGGCGCTAAAGACGTGCGATAATGGTGCATCACCAACTTCACCTAGTAAAGCGATGGTTGCCACCCGTGCCATTTCTACTGCGGCAAGATGGCAGCAGGAGAAGCGATTCTTGCCTCGTCAAGATCGTGGCGAGGGCCGCTATACCGACTCGTCCTGCCGTCCTACAGCGAGGGCGAACGACCATTGCCGAGGTAACCGTGAGGGTACATGTACAATTCGATGGAATTCGATTTAATTGCACAGGCCAATCTAAACAGCTTCATTGCAATAAAATGAATTGAATGATGAGATTTGAAGAAATATTAATAAGTTGGAGGACCACATCTTATCTCGTATGGTGTATATATGTTACTATATTAGCATTATTAATTGGATATATTTTGAGGTTATGGAACAGTTCAGCAAAAGTTACAAAAGGATTTATAGCACATAAATAATGGTTAATACCGTGAAAAACCTCAAACTGGTATTTCTGTGACAAATTTACCCAGAATTAAGTTTTTGACCATTAAAAACTTCAAACTGATACACTTGTGACAAATTTATCGTCCGTTAAATTGAATTAATACCACGAAAAATCACAAATTGGTAACTTGTGACAAACGGAGGGATAAAACCCCAAATGGTACACCTGTCAACAGTCACGTGTCATCCAGCTCAATAATTTGATGGTAAAATTTAACAGAAACAAAAAGAGCGTAAATTTGTTATAGGAGTGTAAGTTTGGGGTTTTTGGTAGTCAAAAAATTAGTTTGAGATAAATTTGTCATATGTGCACTAGTTTGGGGTTTTTCGTGGTATTAACCCTATAAATAAGTATGCCATAAAGTATTCTGTATTGGAAGAAAAGATAGATATTATCCACTAAAAGAAAAGAAAATTCATATCAAAAGCACAATCAATTCGAACGCATGCTGCTCCCATTATGTTGGTGAAAATCAGAGAGAAGTAGTCTTGGCCATATCCATAGCACGGTGACAAAGTTCAATCTCGGTGAAAATCGGCAATTAATTTAATACACATCTCAAAACTGCTCGTAAAAATAAGCGGATCACAGCGATGCTATACATTTATACGAGTCGTCATCCTCGATGGTTGTCGTACCTACAGGGCCAAGCACCAGGAATCGGGCTGGACATATACGATCTCTTGGCGCGGGTACGGCGGGTACGGCCATCCGACGGGCATACCGTCCTTCTTATCCTTGTCTTTGCTCTCGTCTTCTTTCTTGGCCTCGCCCACGGACACTATCTCCGAGAACCCGACTTTCTTCCTGAGCAAAGTGGTGAGGTCGACCGGGTCGACCACTCCGGTCACGTCGATCTGGTCCCGGTCACCCACCAGTGCCACGGATTGAACTCCTGGAGTGAAACCAACAAAGAAAACGGATCGGTTTCGAATCAAAAGAGATTCTTTTTTTTTCCGTTTCTTTTTGTTTTGCTATTCAAAAGCTCGAAACACCTAAAACAATCACCTGGAAAGCCACCCGCAAGGCTCAAAACTTCGGAGCGAGGGTTTTTGATTCCGAAACAACAAAATGGGTTTTTGATTCTGAAACAACAAAATTTCGAGGCACGCTCGTCCATACACACCTTAATCACCACCTTTTTCTGCAAAAAAAAAGAAAGAGAGAGAATAAAATAAGAAAAAAATCAAGAAGGCGAATTCGACATAGATTGATTCATGAATTTCTCCTCAATTTACTGGCTTCATGGTGCTTGCTTCGGCTAGGAACTTGGGGAATTCGAAATTCTTCAATTTGCTCGAAGAATTCTGAGAAATACCACTCTCTATTTATAGCATCTCCTTGGAAGAAGATTCAATAGCTTAAACAAAGGCTGGACATATAGTAGTCAGTATTCAAGCTTGTTGACCATTAAGTCTTTGATTTTTGGCTCCATTCTTGTTTTTTTCATCTATATTCCGTACATAATTGGTGACATGTTCTTCAGAGATTATAATTCTTAAGTACAGGACTTAGTAGAAAAATTCCTTTCATACGATGGAATTAATCAAATAAATGACTACGAATATAAATTCAATGTCGAACCCGAAGATATCTATTGAAATTCGATTGATTAACACATATGATTAGTCCAATTCATCAATTTTGTCTCTAATTGAAGTTCAATAGAAAGGCCTTGTCTCTAGAGAAGGTTCCCCAAATTGACCGTTACCAACCAATCAATCTCTCTCTCTCTCTCTCTGACTTGAGAATGTGATGTCAATGGCATGAGCAAACCCATCAAATGAGTGGGTCGGGTTGAAAATGGTCCAATTTAAATAGATTCATTTAACCCGTTTTGACCTTCAATGCAGTGCAAATCTAGTGGCCTATATACATACCCGACCCAACTCAATCCATATTGCTAAAACATTTTCATATTTAATCCAATCTTGAAAAACTCATATCCAAACTGAGTTGAGAGTGTAGAGCGAGCGAGCGCGAGATTGAGTGAGAGCGAGAGAGAATAAAGAGAAGTCCTAGAGGCGGGTTGGATCTAAGTAAGTTGTAAACCTATTTATGATCCATTTAACACCTATAATATGTTTAAACCCATTTATAACTTATTTATTGAATATAACTAATCCATATAATAACTCATCCCATCATATGTGGATTAAGAAATGAATTCATGACCCATTTTAACAGTAAAAGTACACCACAAGTGCCACAACTTGGTGCAGCGATCACTTTGGTGCCATAACTTTTTCGGATCACTTTGGTGCCAATTCGGAGGAAAGAGATCACTTTAGTGCCAATTTGGCCGGAAATCCACGTGGCATTTTTATTAATTTTGCGCGACGTGGCTCGCCGGAGGCTGAGTCGGTGTAGTACGATCAGCATTTTTATTTTAAATAATTATTTTTAGCGTGTACTCGGCATTTTTAATTTTAAATATTTTTTTCCTTTTTTTCTTTCTTCCTTTTTCTTTCTTTTCTTTTTTTCTTTTCTCCCCTCGCCGGCCGGTGGCCGGCCGGCCACCGGCGGCCTAGGAAGAGGCCGGCGAGGCGGCCTTGCCCATGGCCGGCGAGGGGTGGCCGACCTCGCCGGCGACAGGCGAGGCGCCTCGCCCGACGCCGGCGAGGGAAGCCCTTGCACAGCGGGCGAGGTCGCCCACGCCCAACTCAGAGGTGACCCTCGCCGCGTCCCGGCGAGGGAAGCCCTCGCCGGGCGGGCGACCCTCGCCGGCGTCGGGCGAGGAAGCCCTCGCTGAGTCGGGCGTGGCAACCCTCGCCGGCGTCGGCGAGGGTCGCCCTCGCCGACGTCGGCGAGGTCGCCGCTCGCAGATCCGGACGAGGGCGACCCTCGCCAGCGTCGGGCGGGGAAGCCTCGCCACAGGCGGGCGAGGTCGCCCTCGCTGGGTCGGGCGTGGGCGACCTCGCGCGGCAGCCGGCGAGGCGCCCTCGCTGGCGGGCGAGGGTCGCCCTCGCTGAGTTGGGCGTGGGCGACGACCTCGCCGACGCCGGCGAGGTCTTTAACAGGTCTACGCATGAGTAGACGACCCATGGCAGGAATAATAGGACCAGGGAAGGACCGTTAAGAGAAATTCAAGGGAAAGTTCATGCTCAATCAAAAGTAACGACTGATGCCAACCTGGTTCCATCAGTGGTTTGTCCACTTAGTTGTTTGTCAGTGAGCTAGAGAAAAAAAAAAGGAGCATCCCCATTTTCCCGGCACGAATTTGGGGGTAAGTATTTGATATGCACGATTTACCCTCTAAATATTTACCCCCTAACTCGCTTATCTATCCAATTTTTGATCGTCTAGCTTTCTTCTTGTACAACTTGATTTGGTTAAATGAAATAGTGATGCGAAAGTTGCTGACTTGTTATTCTCTTCACGCACGGCAAACGCTAACACCAACTTTCGCAACCTAAGCAAGATTGAAGAAACGGGCCAATAAACCTACTCGCCCCGCCGTCCCACGGACAGGATGAACGGCTTCTGCCGAGGCAACCATGAGGGTATGCACAGTAGATTCTCTCTCATGTACAATTTGACGAAGTTCGATTTAATTGCCTTCGAAACCTATATTTGTGTGGTGTATATATGTTTCTATGTTAGCGTTCCTGATTAGACATATTTTGGGATTTTTCATGAGTAGCACATGCGGCCTTCTTAGCAAAACAAATTAAGAGGAATTTTATGGCATATAAATAATTATGCTGTAAAGTATTCTGTGTGGACATCTGCATCGTTCGATTGCAAAATTTCAATTATTTATTTATTAATTTATTGTGTTTCCGATAGATGAAGAAAGGTCATGCAGAAATGTCTGCATGAATAATATCTCTAATTACTCTGATGTAACACGAATGAAGAGTGCGAGATGTTGAGATGCTCGAATCCGTGTTTGATGATGCGACTGCCTTAATGACTCCCTCTAATGGTTAGCTAAGGGTCACACTCTCGGAAGATTCAAGCTATTACTGCTCCACACTACCCTGACCCGAAAGTCCGAGGTTGCCGCTTCCATCATCGCAGCCAGAAGATCTCTCCACACTTGATATGTCGTAGCTAGGTAGTGCAACACGAGCCGTTCATAGATTCACCGGCGACACGAACCGAACTCGTGGCCCATGACCTCGTAGAAGACGGCCGACTCCTTTATCGCTAGGTCAATCTTCCTTTTTCATTGTACGCGAGGCATATCAGAGTCCCACGTGGCTGTACCAATCGCAAACTGGTTAGAAGAAATTTCCTCCCATCGAGGACCCAGCCAATTTTGAAAAGTTTAAGAAATTGAGAGTATATCTAGATGGCTTAGCTCTTGGTTGAAGTTTAAGTCTCTTTAGTCATGAAAATGAAACCCCCCCCCCCCCCCCCCACGGCCACGGCATTGGTTTCACGCCAAGCAAAAAGCATACAGTATGCAACTATCACCTGCAAAACCTCCTCGAAATTGACCACCTCGTGATTTGATCGATCCAGCCAATGCATCCGTGGCCCAGAGAAATTTCTGAGGTCCGTCTTGGAAAGGTCGTGCGTGGCCTCCAATATCTTAAGGTCAGTGGAAAAGGACCAGCTTCGATCGGTCAATGGGATTGTAGCCCGCAAGTCGCGAGAAGGCGGAACAAGACTAGAAAATTGTTATCACAGATGAGAAACTACAATGAAATTAAAATCGAGAGAAACAAAAGAATACATAGATTTACGTGGAAAATCCTTGTGGGAAAAACCATGAAGAGAGGAGAAGCAAAATCTATTAGAGAAGTTCAATGATTACAAAAAATGGCTTAAAAACCTAAAGACTCTTTTTGTCGCTACTTCATAATCTAATAATTTGAGAAAAAATAATATTTATATTGCTCCCAAATCCTAACGTTGGCCCAAGGCCATTGTAAATTCAAGATATGCTCAATAAATCTCCATCTTGGCTTGAATTCTATATAAGCAATAAACAAACTTCTCCCCCCAGTAAAGTAAAATTCAGTTGCAGCAAATATCAACCAAATCCAATCAATGCTTGGATTTGGCAATAGGCAAGAGCTTTGTCAACATATCAGCTGCATTGTTTTCTGTATCAATCTTCAAGACCTTGATATAGCCATCAATAAGAATGTTTCGAATAAAATGATACCACACATGAATGTGTTTTGTTCTCTCATGATACATCTAATCTTAGTAAGATGCATAGTACTTTGACTATCACAATGAATAACAATCACACAATGATCCGTACTGAGCTCTCCAAATAAGCGTCTTAACCATAGAGCCTCTTTAATAGCCTATGTAATAGCTATATACTCTGCCTTTGTAGTAGACACAGCAACCGTACACCGTAAAGTAGCTTTCCAACTGAATGCACAATCTCTAATAGAAAAGATGTACCCAGTCAAAGACCTCATCATCAAGATCACTGGCATAAACAAAATCAACATATCATGTAAGAGTGTTACCAATTTTGCCAAATTCTAAACCAAAATCAGATGTACCCTTAAAATATTTCAAAATCCACTTCACAACTTGCCAATGAACTTTGCGTAGGCATGATAAATATCTAGTTACCACGCTAACAGCATCTGAAATGTCAGATCGAGTGCAAACCATGGCATACATAAGGCTATCAACTCCACTAAAGTATGGAACATGTGACATATATCTTATATCCTTATCTGTTTGTAGATATAAACTACTCGATAATATAAAATGAACATCAAGAGGAGTACTTACTGTTTTGGCATCTTTTTATGCCAAAATGGTTGTTCCTTTTCAGGTTCACAAATCATAATATTATTAGTAGATGACTCAACTAGTTGCGAAGAAATTACTTCACGCTCCACCTTCTCTGCAGCACTTTACATATTCTCATAAAAAGGAACAAACGATTCCCTGCTCGGATAAAGCATAGCAGACTCATCAAAAGTAACGTCTCTGCTAATGATAATCTTAGATGAATCAGTAAACCAAAGTCTATAACCCTTTACACTAGAATCATAATCAAGAAAGATATAGTTTTTGTTGCTCTAGGCTCTAGTTTCCTCTTACTAACATGTGCATATGCTAGGCATCCAAATATTCGAAGAGAAAAAATAATTAACAGGTTTACCTGACCATACATCCTCAGGTGTCTAACATTTTCCAAGGTTCTGATCATGCCGTCCTGCGTCTTAATGCTAACAGTTCCAATCTCGATTGCTTTGCATTTGGCGTTATTTCCCATTAGAATAACTCCATCAATATATCCATTGTACGTGGAGAACCAATCACGATTAGGATACATGTGGCACAAACAACTTGAATCGAGAATTCAACTATCACTGAATTTGTCTTTATAATATGAAATCAATAACCGATTTTCGTTTTCTTCTTGAGCAACACTAGCTTGAGTAGAATTTTTGTTTCCTTGATTTTGAAAGTTTTGGTAGTTGTGATTGTTCTACTGATTTGCATTCCCTTGATTTTGCTGATTTAGATTATTATCTCTTTACTGCTTTGCCTTCAGTTTCAAATAATTTATCTTGATATGCCCCTTAGACTTACAGTAGTTGCAAGTCAACTCCTTATGTTTCGACTTTGACCTATTCTTGCCATCATTGTTTCTATCAACAGACCTTCTCTTAGCAATTAAACCAGCCCCATGTTCATTACTACCTTCAAAGTCAATTATGTATATAGTTTCTATTTATTTAGAAGATTAGTATTGATATCTTCAAGATCGATAGTTTCTAAACTAATAATCATGGTCTTTCTAAAATTTTATAAGAGGGAGATAGTGAAATTGACAATAAAAGAGTTTGATCCTCACCATCAATCTTTACATTAATACTTCTTAATTAAGAGATAATAGCAATGAACTAAAAAATATGAGATTTAAGAGAAGCATATTCAACCATACGAAGAGTGAAGCCATTACTTGAGCCTCAATCGATTGGTGAGGGATTTTGTCATAAAAATACTTTTCAATTTTGTCCATAAATCTACCGCTGTTTTTTGATCTAATACTTCATGCAGAATTTCATTCATGAGATACGACTGGATAGTGGAGAAAGCTTTTTCATTTGCTTCATCTTAGGTTTCATTCGACGTGCTTTTTGATTTCTTCTCTTTCTCAAACAGAGTATTCTTCAAATCCTGCAGCATAAGAACAACCAACATACAAACCTACTATAGGTTGAAACTGCCGCTTCCATTAAACTTCTCAATATCAAATTTTGTTGTTGAATTTGAAGCCATAACCAAAAGACCGAAAAATGCGGAGGCTTTAACACTAGATTGTTATGACAGATGTGGAAACTACAACTAAATTAAAATCCAGAAGAATAAAAGAACACACAGATTTACGTGGAAAACCTTTGCGGGAAAAATCACTAAAAGAGGAGAAGCAAAATCCACTATAGAAATTCAAGGATTACAAAAGGTGGCTCAAAAACCTCAAGATTCTTTTTGTCTCTACTTCTTAACCTAATAACTTGAGAAAAATAATACTTATATTGCTCCCAAGTCCTAATTTGGCCCAAACCCATAGAGAATTCAAGACATACTCAATAAAAATAATGGTTTGAAAGAAATTCAAAAGACACGAGAAAATTTGCGATTTCACATTGTAAATCATTAGTTTATGTATCGAAGGTGTTCTTGTCCATGCGTGTCTCATGTGGTGCATAGATTTTAAAGCAGCCCCCACGTAACTCTTGGAGGAGAAATTCCTTTAGTGAAATAAAAAAAAGACTTGCTTACCTATCTCGTTGTTGACTTGATGAGATCATCATGTTACCGTGTTGCATGGTATATTGTTTTTTCTCAGTACATAAAGAAGCAAATTAAAATACGAAATTATCCGGACCCAACTTTCCAAACTCCCTCGTCATAAACTCACAAAACTTGAAATAGTGTCTGAACTGAGCAATATGTCTATATAAGAAGATTGAAGCAATGTGTCTCGTGAATAAACACAATTATTGAATTTCCAACGGTCATGTCTGTCGTAAAAGTTATCATTTATTTATCAAAAATGTTTAATCATAGGTTTTAGTAAATTTCGAATTTTTTGCAAAAATAAAATCCTTTTGAGACAAGTGAAGCCCAACATCCAAGTGGGACGTCAAGATTAGGTATAATTAGGCGTATTTGATGTGCAATGTCCACTTGAGAGCCTATGACTCCAAACAACACTTACATAGATTCTTGCCCGCACCCAAATCCATCATAATTCAAGTGCAATCACATCAATTTGATTCATGTTGGACTCGCATGATCGATGGATGAGGTGGAGCCGAATTCGAGCAAAACTTTTCAGATAAAATGAGTCTAGGCAATATCAATCGCATGTTCGATATCTTAAACAAGAACCGCATTTGAATATCGTTCCAAGCAAGTGGTTTGATGTACTTGCAACAATAGCTTCCTCGTCACGAGACCTAGTGCGAGGTTCCATCGAATCATGACATTGGAATTAGGGATGAACAGGGGGCGCTACAGGCCGGGACCATGTTGCCCATCGCTTGCTTCATGGGGGACGGGGAGGGAACTGCTAAGTTAACTTTGTTAATGATAGGTCCATTTCATTAAGACCAATTAAGTCGATTTTTCATTCTTGATCTATCAAATTCTAACTCCACAAGTCAACCTAGCCGAGTCATATGTGAAAACAGTTTTGTAGAAGAAAACCTGTCTAGAAAAGGGCAAGGGGACACATTACGGCCGAGTAAAATCATGAAGATTGTTTCCTTGAAAAGCCAAACATCCTCGTACGGATTGATATTTTCAGAATCATATTATATTCTTCTCGTGGAAAGATGCAAAGTTCCATCAAATGAAATAGTGATGCGACGGCCACTGAATTGTTTATTCTTTTTACGCAGGGCAAATGCAACACCTACTTCCACAAGCTAAGCAAAATTGAAGAAAATAAAGGGATTCTTGCCTCGTCAATTGCGGAACGGGCTGCTAAACCTACTCACCCCGCCGTCCTAAGGAGAAGCTGAACGGCCTTCGCCGAGGCAACCATGAGGGTATGTGTAGTAGATTTTCTCTTGTGCACAATTTGATGGAGTTCGATTTAATTGCCTTCGAACCCAATATCTGTGCGGTGTATATATGTTTCTATGTTAGCATTCCTAATTGGACATATTTTGGGATTTTTCATGAGCAGAACATTCAGCCTTTCCACCAAAAAGTTTTAAAAAGAATTTTAGGGCATATAAATAATTGTGCTATATTGACCAAAAAAAAATAATTATGCTATAAAGTATTATGTACGAACATTTGCTTCGTTCGATTGTGACATTCTGAAATCCGACCCACTTGGGATTTATGAAATGAGTAATTTATGGACGTGCTTGTAGTTAGATCTCGTCCGGAATTGATTACTTCAGGAATACTAACCGTTAGGGAAAGGCTAATTAGGGATTTAAATTCGCGCGACCAAAGAACTCGATCGTGAACCGACTTTCGACCATGAAAATTGTCGATGTGACATTTTGAGCCAATGTAGGCCGATCCAAGGATAGTTAGGGATCAATTCGCCATTGTCATACGAGTGGATCGTGGGTGATTCCGCTTGACTACGAAATGAATTGACGAATGACCTCGAACCTATACCAAACGATCGTGCCCGTCGGATCTAGCGATCGATCCTCGCGATTAAGTGACAACCAAGGTCGTCACGATCCGAGTGAACTTGAACGTGGTATGATTTAGTATCGGCCACGGGTCAACAATGCGAATTTCCCCAAAAGCCACCCGTTAGTATGAGATATGCGCAAGTTACGTTATTTAGAACTTAGTCATCAATTAGAGACCAAGTTGGGCATTGGAAATTTAGAAAGTCACGACAGATTACTTGGACGACGTTGCCATTAGCCTGATCGACCTTAGAACTGCCCGAATCCTTCAGAAAAATCGAATTTCGGCGAGAAATGAAAAATGACCGTTTTACCCCTGGAGGTTTGTTAAGGCCAAGTGTATTTGGGGAAGGGCATTTTGGTAATTTCGCCATAGCCTTAGAATTAGAGATTTTTGGACAATTTTGCCCTTGGACTTTTTGAGAAATTCCCAAATTTCCCTTGGATATTTTGGAAAAGATTTGATCCAGACCGTCGATCTCAAGATAAGATCGAATTTGGACCGTCGATTTGGATTGTGAGAGAGGGGCAGGATGGTCTTTTGGTAAATCAATTATTGGCCTTGGACTATTTAGGCCAAATTCCTCTCTCTCTCTCTCTCCTCACTCTCTCACCTCCTCTCTCGGCTCACTCTCCCCCTCCCCTCACCGATCAATCGCCCCCCCTTGCCGCGCCGCCGCTTGCCGACTACCGTCCGTTCGCCGTGCCACCGCCGTCCCATCACTGAACCGTGACACCACCACCCTCACGCCGTCCCTCTCTCTCTCCTGTGGCCGTGAACCGCGGCCAAGGAAGCCGCCGTCCAGCCAACCGCCGCCGTCGCCGAGCCGCTCGCCGCCGCTGTGTGCCGCCGCTTGCCGCCGACCAGCCGCCCCCTTTCCACTCTAGCCGAGCTAGTCTAGAGTTCGGGTAAGTCATGCCCTAAACTCTATTTAGGACTTCGGGTAACGACAGACGAATTAAGGGTGGAATCGGATTTAATTAGACGCGATTTTGGCTAAATCAGGGGCTATTTTGGAATTAATTTAGTGGATCGGTTTGAGGATTGATATTGACTGATTTTAGATGGTGAAATAATGATGTTTCGGGGCTGAGATGATGTGAATTTGGGTGCTGGAAATTGGGCTCGTATTGATGGGTATATGGTTCGATTTCGGCGCAAACGGTATCGGCTTGGTGCGTTGATTTATGGCTGAATCGTGGTGACGATTCGAGCTAAAAATGGATGAGGAAATGTTGAATCTTGTGCCGATGTAGTGGCTGTGTTTGTGGGCCCGTTAGTAGCCTTGTATGTTTGTTGTGCCGTAACTTGATTGATTGAATTATGCTTCGTTATGTGCACGCTTGGGCTGAATTGGTTTTAATTGTCAATTGGCCGTGTTGGATGCTTATTGAGCATGAGAAATGTGTGTGAATTGGTGCGTGCACGGGCCACGTGTGATTGGCTAATTTATTGGCAAGTGGGTGTTGAGCATGTGAACGAGTGAGAAATCGTGTGTGGCACGGTATGTGTGGTTGCGGAAATCCCTGAGGCGGTACCATTACGCGGGGAATTGATCTGTCCTGAGGAGGTACGACTACGCGGGACGATGCCCGGTATTACCAAAGGACGGCCAACCTGAGGCGGTACCATTACGCGGGTTGTGTCATAGGTGGT